TGCCATCGCCTACAGGGCTGCACTGTGAGCGAGATGAGCATAGCTAGCTCGTGTGACACGTAGTGGCCCCAGCTGCTACCCCTGTGAGCTTTTCCCCCGGCCGGTCAACTGGCACGAGCGAGGGACCATAGACTCAGACACAAGTGCCATCCACTCTCGGATTGGTGAGGTCAAAGGTGAGGGCATCAGGCCCACCCAGAGCGCCTCCTCCAAGACCTCCGCAGTGAATCTGTACGCAGTCAGGAGGGGGAGCAGTGGCAGTAGTGAGCCAGAAACCATGATGCTCCGCCAGGAGCTTCAGGACGCCTGCCCAAAGATGGTGCTGGCGGGCCTTTTCACCCTGATCGCCCAGGATTAATGGTGCTAGGGTTTCAACTGGTTCGCCAAGAGTGGGGATGGTCTCAACTACCTCAGCATAAGCCGCTCGGAATTCTTGCTGCTGGGATTCTGGGAGAAGGTTGACTGCATGCAGGGTTCCTTCGCGCAAGTTGGGCAGTGGCACTGCCTGCGCAGCAGGGATGCCAAGTAGCTCAGCAGCCCTTTTCCATGGGACAAAGAGGCAGGGTGGCTGCATTGGCTGATCACCGCCAACGGGAGTCAGCTTGCTGGCCGCCTGTGACCTACATTCTTGGGAATGCTGGTCTGTCGCTGCCTGCAAGAGCTGTCGAACCAAAAGCTCTGAGTTGGTTTCTCGCAAGGGTTCAACAGTCTCTACATCTGGGTCCGGTACAGTGCCATGCCCCAACGGTGCATGACGGGGATCTGCTGCTTGTGGTTGCCATTGCATGAGGAGGCAAAAGCGAAAAGCACTGTTGCCCGCCAGTGCAGTTGGACTACCCGTGAAGGAGCATCCACCTATCGGTTTCCAAGTGTCCACTACCCAAGCCGCAGGGTAATGCGGCATACCCAACAGTGCAATCGGTAACGTTTCCCACCCTAGTTGCGCCAGCTCTTCGAGAGCCTTCGGGGCATCCTTCTTGGCTTTCCCAAAAGCATGAAAAATGACAGGACGCATAAGTCTTTTTCCTTTGATCCGGGGCCTGGTTTTGCAACCAGGGTCTGGAAAGTGTGGTGGTCTTTTGAGGCCCAATGCCTCTTGGAGCACTGGGAAGTCAGGGTGCAAATGTCATGGCAGGGAGCCGCTGCATGTTGTGTGCTCACCTCCAATCCCTGTGTTTGTTTTTTTAGCGGCTCACGCTCTTAGTCTTCTCTAATAGTTTTTTTTTGGGGGGGGGGTCGTAATCAGTGAGCCCACTGGATTTTCCGTTTGGGCTGGATATCGCCAGAAAGTAGTTGGCAGCTCCGCGACCACTGGCAACATCCATGGGAAGCTTGCTCAATCATCGTGCCTGCCATAATTTGTGCAGTGCATAGAGATCACATGAGACCAAAAGATCTTTGACCCGGTGGCTGCTAGGTTTTTGTCATCCACTTGGGCCTTAACACTACTATTTATATATTTATTATTACCTTCTTATTCTAAGTACCGTGATATTGTAAAAACTTCTGCGTTTCATGCCGCCAGTACATGAGAGAGAGAGAGAGAGGACGCCAACAACCAGCACATTTTTCGGCCCTCAAGTGCAGAAAACGATGCAGCAGTCGTCAAGTCTGTCAATCGACATCAGGATCGGCTTCCGCCGGTTCCTCTTCGCCTTGCTCGCCGATGATTTCATCATCAGCTTCAGTCTGACCACACTCACCGGCATCTGCATCATCACCCTTTTCAGGATGATTCGCTCGATTCTTCTCAATCAATGCATCACGCATCGAAGCCTGGGCTTCAAGGCTGAGGCACTGATGAACGGTGTTGAGAGGTTTTCATGATGAGTCGAAGGGGTACTTTAAGGCCGAAACCGCCAAAGTCTTCAGGTCTGGCTTGGAAATTCCCTTTTCTCCTTCTTGCCGAACTGTTTCCTGGGTTCCAAAAACACAACAGTTCTGAGTTTTAATCGCAGCTGCCTAGAAATCACACACCACCTAAAACAACAGTTCTGAGTTTCTGCGATGGATTCCAGTTCGGCATCGGAAATTAGATCATGAGGCTTGACCTGAAGAGAACTAACCACATGAAGCGTGCTCAACCAAACAATAGTAGCACACAGCACAGTTCCAACAAATTTCAATCAGACCCCACCGTAGCGTATTCTTTGCCATTCACCTTGATGCCCCACTTGCCCTCCGCATGGTACAAGTATTTGACGGTATGGTAGGCCCCCGCAGGCTTCTTCTGCACCTTCTGCTTCTTCTGACTCGAACTTGGTTCAGTAGCCGCTTCCACGACTCCAGCGGCTTTGTCAGCCTCAGTCTCCTTCTCATCGACATTGCTCGCAGACGGCCGTTTCAAAACCTTAGCCTTCGGGCTCTCCTTAACCTTAGCCTTAGCCTCCTTAGCCTTCGGAGTATCCTTTGGGGACCCCTTAGGCTTCGGAGTCATCTTCACCTTAGGTTTGGGAGAAGGTTTGGATTTCGGCTCTGCTTTGGCCTTTGGCACTGCAGCACATTCATCATCCGACAATTGGGTGACTGCCTCCAGTGGCATTGGAAGCCTGTCTTGCCACCTAGCCGGCCTATTCGAAAAAAGTCCTGGAAACATTTGAGCCTCGCAACCTCTGATATAATATGCGACTCCTCAGAGTAAAAAAGTTCGGTCGGGTCGGGTCCAGACTGAAAGCCAATGGAGACGCAGAACAAAACGTATTCACATTATTTTTCACCATCATGGTGCAACCCACGGCGGTTGCAGCAAGATCTACCCAAGGCTCGAAGCCATCCAACACAATTCCAAAAAACATCAGGACATTGAGTCACAGTGAAATTGACAGTTGACTGACTTCTTACTGATTCATCAATCACTTGCGCTTCAATGCCCAAGCCGCCCAAGCCTTCTATCAAAATTGAAACGGTTTCATCACAGCCTCACAGCCATGCCGGCCTCAACTGTCAGCTGATTCACTAGCCAGGCTTTCGGTTTCACTGGCGTCAGGACTGCTGGAATTGACGTAGTCAATTTGGCCTGCAACAGGGGCGTGGCATCAATAGTAATTTTCACACGTAACTACAGCCTACTACAATTCAACACAAAAACCGGCAAACACAAATCAGTCTCTCCAACCGCAAATCAACCCAAACCAACTGCCTCCCAAAGGGTCTTGCACGGTGTGGTTCCAGTCATAAGCCTGTCCAGCTGCCCTACAAAATGTCCTCCGAAAACAGAGGACCGAAGCGCCATGAGGTCCCTTGAATCTGCTGGTGAGAGAGGCTTCGGCTCGAAGCAGTTGATTTTCGGACGAGCTTTGATGGAATATCGGAAAGGTCGAGGATCAGAGTCCTGATTCAGCAAGACATTGGGAGTTCTAAGGCAACTCGATGAACAGTGCCCAACCACTAGAAAAAGTCACAACTGGCTACACCAAGAGTCAACCACCACTTGGGTAACATCATGATCCATAACCGTGAGTTCTGTCACACCACTGTTGCGAGCAGCTTGACAAGCAACTTGACTCAAGCACATGATCTTCTTCTTGTTCTCGGCGTCAATGAAGATCAAGCCTGAATGGTCGCCCGGCAGCGACCAAGCAATGCAGTCCTTGGCGGCGAGCTGAGCAGCGCCTTGCCAGGGGCCAGAATTCATGAGAGTTCAATGAATCTTAAGGGCGCTTATTAGGGGCCGCCTGTTGCCTGAACACAGTACCACTCACAAAGCCCTCACCTGGCGACTTCTCTGAGAAGGCTCCGTAGTTATATCCAAACAGTTCACCCGCTTCCACTGTGACATCAGCCGATGTCGGGTTCACCAACCAAATGTAATGATTTGTCTTCTGGACGTACACGCGCAATTGGCTGGAGACCGGAGGCGTTGTCTTGGCAGCAATCCTCAGTCAGGAAGACTATCCCTTATCACAGGACCGGCAGGCTTTCAAAAGCACAAAAAAAAAGAAATCACAAAAACGTTGTGGACACCGCTGAATGACTCAAAGTGCTCAAGGTCCTCGGCCTTCATGCTTTCGGTTGCTGCGCCAATGGCTCGAGGGTTGATAGGAAGGTTGGGTGGCTCAAAGATCGGGTCGCACAAGACACGACAGCCGCCAGCAGCCCCGGAAGCACCAGCAGCCCCAGAACCACGTGTCACGCTCCCGCGACGCTGGTTCAAATTGCTGAGGGCGGACAAGTCGTTGGCGCTGTTGAAACTCTCGATCTCTTTCATCAGCCGCTGGCGAGACGTGCCCAAGCTCTCCACCACAACAGGCGGCAACCTTGACAAAAACTTTGAACAACATTAGGACAGCACATAGCCATTAGCAAGCATAACAACAACAACAACAGCAACAACACCTACAAATAGGACGAGAAGCGCAACTTTGTTGTCCGTAATGTTGCACACTTGCAGGGTGGGAACAGACTCTCCATAGGCGGCTTGTGGGCGAGAAGTTGGCCCAGCTTCTTTGCTGGAATCTCAATATTCCTAGATTGGAAGCTGAACTGACTGGTATAAACTTTTGCTGCGTACGTTAGGCATTAAAAAAACTAAAAACTTCTTCAAAATTGAATCATAATCTCGTATCCAAACTGCACTGTGGATTTGGCCTGCAATAGAGCTCTCCCACGACGCAGCATCGCAGTCATCAGGCGACATGTAGCCGACATACATCCAGTCCTGGGAAGACGTTTCGTCCTTCAGCTTCTTCTGCTGTAGCAGCCATGCTGCTTTCCCCCACTCGTTGAACCTGTACCAAGAAAGACTTATAAGAGAGTGTTGACAATAGTCATTGATGCGCTGGGTTTGCTGAAAACAGGACTGCTATCATGACACCTGGATGGTGTGAGGTCAGCCACATAGATTTTCTTCCCATCAGACAGGTCAATCCCGTCAATGAGTCCAGCGAGAATCTGAGATGTGGCCAAAACGCCACGCTGCTGTGCCTAAGTCAGTGTTTTTGGGGATGAATGAGAAGTGTCCCTCAACACGAAAGCAGTGTATTTTTCAGCCCTGAGTTCAATCAAAGTGCTCGCGCCGGCGGGGAAGGGGGTTTGTCGGCATCTTCTGATACGAGCTCAACGACCCGCGCGCGTTGCACAGGCCCCAAGACACCACACATCGCCGCCTTGGAGCGGCTGAAAGCAAACTCCTTGTGGATGTTGGACACGCACAGTAGGCCTGACAAACGCCGAGGTATTGAGACAACTAGCTGAAGAGAGCACCAGTTAACAGCTATCGCAGCCAAACACAGCAAAATGAAACGATCCAAGGAGCCAAATTGACTCTTCTTCCTTTTGTCACCGGCGTGATGTGGGTCCGTGAAGGTAACTGTCAAGTCGTGCAGTTCCATGTGCCTTGAGAGTTGTGGCTGGTTTTCTTTTGGAGACAACAACTCGCTCAATACAAAAAAAATCGAATTTCAACAAGCCACGGCATCAGTTTGTCTTCCACGATCCTTTTGTTGCGCCGAACAACAGTAGGGTCCGTGCTGGCGTGAACAACAGGCAGGAGAACCATCAAGCACGCTGCGCTATCTCCATTGGACACTGACACGGCCACTGAGGTGGCTTCGTCAATGAGCATTGGCCCTTAGGCCAGACTGAACTACATGAAACACCTCATGGAAGAGCCTAGCCATGCCACTTTGCAGCCCCGACACTACTGGGCCACAAGGACAAGTCCATCACCATGATCGTGAGCCTGGGACTTGCAAAATCACGAAAAAAACATTCTGCTGACCCCAAACAAAAACGAAGCTTAAGCCTAGGAACCCTTCACCGCCGTGTTCACCCCGCTGCCATTGGAGAAGGTCCGCGTGGGCAGACGACAACTCTGTGGCTACATAGCGGTGGTGTCCGGACATGTACTTGTGACACCAAGCCTTTCCACGTTCAAATCGGCCTTGGAGGAACTTCACATCCAAGGCTCCCTGCAAGCAATGTCACTTCCAACGCATCCACGAATAACAGCAAGCAAAAGGAACACACGCGGCACGCAGTCAGACAAGCCTGGCGGTTGGCCCAATGATTCAGATCGTCCACGTAGGCCTTGACAGCCTTCAAGTCTGAACGCACGCGGTTTTCTGTGTGCTGGACTGTCGCGAGCGCAAGCTTCTCAGCCAACCTGGAAGCTGTCAAAGAAAAAGATGGCACGCACAAGGCTAACTGTCACACCACAAGGCAAGCGCCAATTGACTCTAGCATTCAGCATGAAAAGACAGTCAGGGCACTCATCAGCTTCTTTTGAGAGTTCAGCTTCAACCTGCAGAAGTCCAACTTCATGTGTTAGACCCAGACTGGAGGTTCCAAACAAAACAAAGCAATGAAACTTGTTGAACCCCCACCTTCTTTGCATGTTTCGAAGCGTGAGCGCGAAAAACTCCGATGCGGTCCATGTCTGCCGGAGGGGCGGATTCAGAGAGTAGCAACTGGATCTCTGCGTCTGCGTGTTTCGCACAAAACCTAACAAGCGACAAGTGGTTCACGATGGAACCTTTTGAAACCAGTCCGCAAACTAGCTGCGTTCACACCTAAACTCAATGTGACAAGTAGTCAAGGCCGGCCACGCTTCCAAGATCTTTGGAGAGACATCATTGACAAAGTCAGATGGGAACTTCTTCTTGAACTGGTTCATGCACGCTACAAACCCACAGCATATCCTTTGCAAGTTTTCCTGGGCGAGTAGGGCAGTAGTATACCGAGCTGGGTGTGGCTCAACAAAAGTGGCATGCGTTGAGTTAATTACATAATCAAAGCCAATTGTCGAGCTCTTTGAAGTTGTAGGGTTTTCTGAACTTCGTGTGGAGAGCGCTGAAGTCATCATGCATTCGTTTGACTAGCAAGTGAAGAACTTCTGGGTTGTTGCGGCATTCTTCTTCCCATTGAGAGTACGCGCCTGTCCCTGAGGTGTAAGTCCTGTTGAACAGGCCAAGAGCCAGTGGCTCGTGGGTGATATAGCGACCCATGCTGAACTTCCTGAGAATCAAAAACATGTTCTAGGATCGTGGCACATGTTGCTGTGTCCAAACTGGTTTGATTCCGGCAAGAGTTTGCGTCTTCAACAAGTTTCTTCACGTGGAGGGCAAGTGATTCTGTTATGTCATCATCAACATGACGAAGCAGGTTCAGGGTCGCTTCACTCTCCAGCTTGCCAGTTTTCATGGCCTGGGCCACGTCTGAGGCCTTGTTCCAAGCCTGGCCACCAGGACAGAAACACCTACACTGGATGAACGAAGACACATCAGTGTGTCACGCCTCAAGGCCGCTCGATTTATCCTTCATCATCTTCGCTAACAACCTTTCTTGATGTAAAAGGTTAAAGCAGTTTGCTTTGCGGCGCACCGTGGTAGCCTGAGTTATACCTGCCAAAAAAAGAAGTTCGCAGGTCCCGCAAGCATCGAATCCACAGCACACAATCATACAGTATAACGCAAGGTGCGCAACATGTCAAGGCCTCGATTCTTGAGAACCAGCATTGCCGGCTCCGAAACAGTTGCCACTGCAGCGTGCATGGTACAGAATGTCCTGAATCAACAAGTTAAAAAAATCATCAGTACAACCCGACCCTAAAAAAATAACAGGGCATCAGTTCCATGATCTGGAATGGGATTGTAACGAGGCACTCCCTCAAATGTTTGGGCCACTCATTGAAGAATTCTTCACATTCGTACCCGCAAAGCATGATGGTGTGAGCGCATACAGCTCTGCTCCACCCTTTGATCATGAACGCTGACAACGGCGGCAGTAGCCCGGTCGACTCTGGTGACAGCTCATCTACCTTGATGGCGAAGGGTGGTCGGATTCCAAGATCCTCTGGCATTGAGCTCACACACAGCTTTTCGGCGCCGCCCACATTGGCATCTGTGATGCACCTCAACAAATCAACACATTCCCCAACTCTCTGATTAGATTCTCTTGAAGCTGAAATTTGAAAGCAGCCACGACACCCGTGACAGACCATGAGCTGACACAGTTGAAAATGCAGGTCCTCAGAAAATCAAAACAGCTTGAAAGAACATTGCGAAGGCACCCGGTGTGTCTCACTGACACGAATCACACAAGTTTGAATTGGAGGTCTAGCTTCGGGTTCTATGAGGCCCCGTAGACCGGATTCAGGAGTGAATGGTAGCTGCCAAGGGCGCAAGTAGACCCCTCCATCTGCATCAAAGCTCTTGGGGCCTGCATACGCCCTGCCAGCAATTAACATCATCCCTGATGGCAACATTTCAAAAAAAATGACTGTGGTGTTACATCCGACAAAGTTGAATATTGCTTGGAGGCACACTCCATGCTCAGCTGGAAATTGGTGCTCAACCCATTTGAGGTACTTGACCAGATCCTCCTGCAGCGTGCACCGCGGCGCAAAAGATTATATACAATACAGTAGCCATGCACTAGTTACCAGTTCCTCTTTCTCGAACGCCTTTTGGAAGACTTGGTCAATAGTCTGACACTTCTCCAATCGGGTCGACCTCGCAGCCATCATCAAGGCTGAAAACCAGCGTGAGGCGGCAAACGGTCAATTTCAACGCAGCTCAACAGTTCAATTAGGCTAGACACAGCCAGGTCTTGAAAAGGGCGGCGTGAGAAGCGCTGTCAGCAATGGGCTCCGAAGCAGTGGCCCGTGCCGCCTTGGCTTTGGCGTCACCACCACCTCCAGATTTGCGCTTGGCCGGCATGATGTTGGCAAAACTAAATGCCCTTGATCCGCTGATCAAGCAGTTTTGAAATCAAAAGACATCACACTGACCAGTTCTCCAAGAAGCTGACACTAGTCACTAGCTCTAATGTGCGTTCAATGTATTTTCTGACCCGTGCGACAAGTGGGTTGCAAAGAGCTTGGCGCCGTGCCCCAACCCTTTCTCATTGACCTGGCATCGTTGCAAACAGAAGATATCCAACAGGAGTTGAAACAAACACAATCTGTGGAACTTAGCTTGGAACAGCTTCAAGAAAAAGGAACAGTAACATAATGATGCACTTGATTTGTGCCGAATGCCAAACGTGTCCTACCTATTTGCGCCGAACAGCACGTGTGTCAGACACGTTCGTGCCGAATCCCACTTGTTGCTCATTCCTTTGCGCCGAATGGCCATGGTCAAATCATGGTTTGTGAAGAATTGGAACTGGGGTTATTCACAAACACCTTGGCCAGCGCAGCCATTCGGCACGAAAGTAACAAGCAACCACCCTGATTCGGCACAAACCTTCCAGAACCCATGATTGAATCGGCACAAATGTAAGCTCGCTCCATTCCGTGCAAACATCATTTGTGCATAGATGGAGCTGGTTTTCTGCACAAACTGATTTTTTGCATGTACTCTGTGATTTGAATCGTTTTTCTTTCAACCTTCAAACAGACCCCCCTAAAACGTAATGCCGCACCCAAATTTTTCAGCGTTTTGCTGACATCACAAATGACCTTGCGTTTGCAAGACCTCCATTGGTGTAGAAACTGAGCTGGCTCCCTTCACTAAACCCTGGGAAGACTAAGCAAAAGTAACTTTTTTGGGGTTGAAGATTTCATAGTTATTTCAACTCTCCTCAACTACCAGCCTTTCGTGTTGGAAGCCAGCTGACTTTAGTCACAAACACGGCACTCCCACGGACCAGGCAAAGTCTGAAGAATGTGTACTACATGATCCTTGTTACATAAAATATTCATGAATCAATGAACATTGGACAATATAAAGCAAGACCGGCTCCTAGAATATCAAACAGAGATTGAACCATTCATCCCTCATGGGTGGCCTGGTCAAACACTTCAGTTACTATCTCAAGACTTTTGTCAAATGGCATTCCTGCCGCCCAAAGCTTAGCAGCGGCTCGGTAGATGTAGTGTTGCTTCCTCTTGACCCGGTACGTCTCCAAGTGGTCAGGCTTCTGGCGAATCAGCGACAACTGATTTGGCTCCTTGGCAAATCAAATCTGGTTAAACCCAGCAAACACCTGGCGCAAAATCCCACCCGAAAGAAACATAGTCTTCAAAAGTTGCGCCCAAAAGAGCCAAAGAACGGGGTCAAGATTCTGGCCACGGCGGGGCGCTGGCACCCCAGGCCCGACCCTTGGGCCAGGAGCCATAATGAACCTGGTCACTCAGTCACTAGCAACATTGAATATTCCTAGGGCGACACTCGCGCGACAGCGCCTGTCAATTGGCAGCGGTGGGGTCTCCTCAACAGTGTCCTCTGCCAGATGGATCAAAGCTTCAGCAGCTCTGACGAGATCAAAGGGTGGCTCACCTCACTTGCCACATCGCGAGGTCTGTGTTTACACAATAAAAGTAAACAGGCTTGGCGCTCAGTGGCCACTTCTTCAAACACTTTTGAAAATAAAGCGGTAAATGTGTCGGTATGCAATTCTAGTCCTGGTACTATCCAAAAAGTGTTGTGGGCCGGCTTGTGATTGACAAGCGGCGGATCAATGCTGCGTACTTTGCCCAGTTCTCTGCAGCTTTTGGATCCAGGGGATGTTTGTCGGCCAGAACTGCAGGGTTCAAATACAACACTATTTAGGAAAGAAAACGGTGGTACTGAGTGTTGCCTCAATGGCACCTCATGCTACCTCCGCACCTTCAGGGGCGACACGAGCCATCATTTTCTGAACCAATTCATACGGGAGATACAGCAAAGGTGGGCCGAACTCACGGTCGCTCATAAATTGCTTTGTCCTGGACGGGCGCAGTGATACGGGGCAAACAAACATCGTGGAAACATTTAACTTCTTGCCAAGCTCTCACATGCTCCCTTGATAAACGTTATCCCTTTTGGTCACAAGTTCCTGAGAAGCACATCGTTGCCGTGACCAACCGAGACACCCTTACGCGTCCAAAAGCGCACACTGCTCCTAGTTGGCTCCAAACCTGCCAAAGGGGACTTGAACATCAAACGCAACCAACCAACAAAAACCATTAAACACCCACCAACACAAAACAACCATTAACAAGATGTCTTACCTTAAACTTGCGGATTGAAATGGGTCTGAATCTGCCTGGCAAGTCCTTCCTCTTGTCTAGAGCGAAGACATGAGGTGCTCCGGCACCGCCAATACCCTTCAAGTGTACTCCGCAGGTGGTCACATTGAGATAGGTTTTCCTCAAGGTGAGAGAAAACCACAGTGAGGACAGAATGAGGGGCCTCTGACCAATTAGCTGGTGGAAAAACTTAAAGCTGAGGGGAAATGAGCAAGAGCATCAACCCAAGTCTCCAATCTCGGACGGAAGTGAGTAGCTCTACTCGTCTGATTGGCTCATGCTCTCGGACTTGCGGGTTTGAAAGCAACCTCTCGAGAGAGATCTTGAAATCAGAAGGCTGCTCCAACAGTTTCTCATCCTGGATCCAAGAGCTGCACACACTGAACCACTGATCTATGTCTTCATGAGAGTGTCCAGTCATCAAATTGCTAAAAACGGCCCGTTTGAGGAGAGATCCTCCGACCCAGCTTGATAACAGCCTGAGGGTCGTGTTATTCTTCGTCTCTCGTGTCGTGTTGTCTGATTGCAGGTGCAGCTCGGTGCACCGGCAATCAAACGAGGAGCCATCACTCTGTTCACGCTGACATATTTGGCGCATCACGTTTGACAGCATGTCTGCGGTAGCGTTCGAGTCCTTGTGAACTGTAGGCCATGTCAAATAGCAAAAGATGCCATAGCCGTGGGCCAGACATGCCTGTAGATCCAAATTTGGCCTTATAAAGCTTGAAACTTCTTTTGATGACATGACAAGCTCTGCGCGAGGGAATCGCAGCTTAGAATGGTCTAAGCCGTCGATGATCAGAGAGATGATGGTGTTGCCTGTCGAGATGGGCTGCCGGAGGCGGGATTGAGTACGGACTGTCCAATATTCGACGCGATCAGCGTATTGTCGCTTTAAATGGCGACTGTACTCATGCATTTGAGCAGTTCTGCTGTGAGTGTCATTGGCCAAGCGCTTGATCAGTGCCTTGTGTCGCACGCACAACCCGCATTGTTGGTGCTGCGACCGTGGACGAATGGCCAACTTGTGCAAGAAGGAACTAGTCCAAACCTGGAAGCAAACTTCTGCCACCCAACAAGTCACAAAGTCCTGACAACAACACGCAAAACTCAAAACAACAACCACTCAGCTCAGCGTCAAGGAACACTGGAAAAGAGCTTCAACGACAGCTTCCTAGAAGGATAGCGACTTCTCAACAACTCAAGGTACTCGGTGAAGGTACCTGGGGGCAAGAGCCGCAACAGCTGCTTCTCCTCCTTCTTCAGCTTGCTTTGACGACTCGCGATCCGGGGCTTCTTGCCGCGGCGACGGCGAAACCGCATAATCTGTTTCGAACCCGTCTCTTGGGCCTCTGGCATAGGTTCGCTGATGGTGTCGTACAACTCTTGCAAATACTCGTGGATGATAACACGGTTGTCGCTTGGGGCCTTTGCGTGGGAGCCTGTGACAAAGCGCAGGTCCACTGGAGGCCCTGTCTGGGCGCGAATAGCTCTCAAGACCTTGTCGAAGCGCCCTCGCCCAATCCCCAGTAACCTCCGAAAGGCATGACCACAAACGATCTGCCCCAGGAGACTAAAGCGCCCGGGGCGGGTTGACGAAGACAGCATATCGTAAACCTGCCCAATTTGGTCAACATGAAATTAGTTAACGAGTCCCGATTGGCCGCTTATTATCACCCTGAAACCATAAACACTGGTTCATGATATTTGTTAGTTGCCAAGCAAACATTCAACAACGCGCTGAAACCATGAACTACTGCAGCAAAAGGCCTTGCGGTCAGCATCGGTCTTGTGCAAAGAGCGAAACTCTTTCCGAAGTTGCAAGACTGCGTCCAAACCATGCCAACCACGGTGAAATTGCCAAAAACAACTCTCACGATCCTTCCTGCGGAGTTGTGAGCACTGACAGCGGCTTTGAAGTATCTTGGCAACAGTCGAGCGGTGTTGCGGGGCTAGGATCATTTCCCTTGCCCGCTTCAAATGTCTGTCACGGCCAGCGCTGCCCACAGCCTGAGCCCGATCATCATCACTCAATTCAGTGACAGGTGCAGCCAGGCAGGCATCATCGTCTGATCTTGGCACAATCTGGGCTCCAACATCAGACCCCGGGACTTCCACAGCACTGCCATCTGCAAAGCCCTCATCATCCGACAAAAACTCTACAGCCGAAAGCGCAGGCATCGATCATCGCCCAGCAGCAGTAGGCAGGGATAATACTAATAGATAATATAATATATACCTTTATTATATACCTTTGTATATATACAAAACATGAACCACCAAGTGTGACAGTATAGTACCAACTGCTAAGTGTGACAAAAGTCATTGATAAAATTCAATGTTTTGTTGGTTGTCCAGCTTGACCCGACAAAGCAAAAAACAGCTTTGGATGTCACGCGATTATATTCACCTTGAACTCCGACAAGCGCAATATGCTGAGAGACTGAAGGAAATGTTCAGGGATCAAAGCTAAGTAAGTCTGTCCAACATCTCGAGTGGGCCTGAAGCATACCTTGAAGGGTCTTGAAAGGCTCGCGGCTGTAACAAAACTTTTTGCATACTTTACTGGGTGAGCTCTGCGCGGAGGAAAGGCACTTAAAGCCAAATGAACAAAATTATCGCAATGTCCAGGCAGCTATGAACCACCGTGGGTTAATTACTACGGTTGCAACTCAAATCACACGTCACGGCGCTAAGTCCTGGCTA